CTCTGCTATGTGGCAATGTGACTAAACTCATCTGCAGCTCTGTACTGACTGTGAAGTCAGGGGACCCAAATTCCTTCCCTGGTGTTGCTTCACCATCTCCATGTGCTGAAGTTGTGTCAATGGCACAGTCCTGTTCTAGCACAATGGAGAGGAAGTCAAGAGCAAACTGACCTCTGCCTACAGTGTCTTAGTGGGAATTTAGTCATTCAACTACTACTAAGTGTTCAAATGTATTTGATTCAGTTTAATACACTGTCTTTGTGGGGAGGGGTACAGGGTGTAACTTAGTAGTGGAGTGCTTGCCTAGCATGCATGAGGCTCTGGGTTTGACCCCAGCATCACAAATAAAAACAAAAAACAAAAGGACTGGTGGCTCACACCTGTAATCCCTGCTACTTGGGAGGTAGAGATCTGGGGGATTGAGGTTCCAGACCAGCCTTGGCAAAAAGCTCAAGAGGCCCACCATCTCAACAAAGAAGCTGGGCTCGGTGGTGAGCGCTTGTGATCCCAGCTGTGCAAGAGGTGTAAACAGGAGGATCGTGGTCTGGTCCAGCCTGAGCAAAAATATAAGACCCTATCTGAAAACATAAGGAAAGCAAACAGGAATGCCCCGGACTGTGGCACAAGAGTTTAAATATCAGTACTGCAAAAAGAAAAAAAAGAAGTGGCGGGGGAGACAAAGAAACAGGAGAAGAGAAAATAAAAGTATAAGTAAGATAGTGAAACTAGTGACCACACATCCCTAAGGAAGGGAGGCTGAGAGCTGGGCACAGGTGGCTCACGCCTATAATCCTAGCTACTCAGGAGTGAAGATCAGGAGGATGGAGTTTTGAAACCAACCAGAAGCAAATAGTTCATGAGACCCTATCTCAAAAAAAAAAAAAAAAAAATCACAAAAAAAGGGTAAAAAAAAAAAAAAGGAAGGGGGGGTGTGTTGAGGGAGTTGGCTTGAAGCCAAAACTTCTGGTAAATCTTTTTTAAATTTCACTCATCAAACACTAAGTTTAGAGTCTTCCCTGACTCCACAGGGATTTGATGACTAAGGTACTAACTGGTATGGTGCGACTTGTAGGCTACAATAACTAATCCGTCACATTCAATTTTAATAATGTTGAGAGTTTTGAGCATTGAATAAAGTTTGTCTGGCTAGCGAGATGGGTAGAAGACACACGAGAGGACACAGGATGTGGGTAGGTCTTCATCTGTCACATGTGCCAGCCTTTTCTTCTGTAGTTGATAGCAAAAGCGTTTTACTAACTTCAAAAGGAGACTGAAAACACCACATAGGCATATGACCTCCACAGTGTGGAAGGCTGTCAGCCCAAACAGTTAAGTCTCAAAACGCTTGGGTTATAATGATAGCTGTTTTTGGAGATTGGTGTGGCAGGTGGGGGGGGGGGGAACGACTTCGCACTTGTAAAACAAGCGCTCTAATGCTTGAGCCACACCCCCACTCCATTTTGCTCTGGTTCTTTTGGAGATGGGGTCTAATGGACTACTTGCCCAGGCTGGCTACGAACTTCAATCCTCCTGATCTCTGCCTCTTGAGTAGCTAGTATTACAGGTGTGAGCCACCCCACCTGTCATACTGATAGTTTTTGAACTCAAGAACAATGATCACCATTTGGTTGTGTGTCATTGGATGACAGTCCATGGAATGGGAAAGGTTGCCTTCCGGCTTTAGGACCACATCCTTTCCACCACTCTGTGCCATGTTTTCTTTTTTCCTGCAGGCTTTCTTTAAACGCCAGGTCACTCCGACAATGAAGTCGAAATGGTGCTATCTATCTTGCTTGCCATGGCCAGAAGAGGACACAGAAACTTAAATAAAGTGACTTAAACATCAGAGTGGACAATGCAGGGTAACTGCCGTCTTTAGAGGCTTTTTACACGTATGTCATCTGCAGTATAGCAGGAGTTTCAGCCCAGAGGAGAGCCAGGTCTGTGGCTGGGGTTCTGCAGGTCTGGGCACGTCCAGCAAACTGGTAAGGCAGAACTGAAAGCACCCTGCTGGTGTGGGCGGAGGCTGCTTCCCAGAACAGAACTCATTTGAGTGGCAGAAATAATTAGGGAAGCCCTGTAAGAAAGACTTAGTCACTGGGCTGGGTGTCATAAATGTGGCTTGGGGTAGCTGTTGCTCACATCTGTCGCCAGTGTAGGCCCATGAAAACATGGCTGATCTCTAAGGGAAACAACACTGAGTGACAACATAAAGAGCTGTTTCACAGAAAACTGTGTAACATGGGCTGGCAGGCCGCTTTGGGGTTCCCCTAGTAGACAGGGGCCTACACAATGATCTGTTTCTTCTGACTACACCCTGGCTTTGACTGGTTTGAATCTTAAATCCTGGTAGGGGCCTGTGGTGCCCAGAGCAGCACAGGCAAGTGGAGAGGGGTGTCTGAGCACCTATGAGACCCCCATCCAAGGGGGCCCAGAAAGCACTGGAGAAGAAAGCTTGGGAGGCAGAAGAATCAGTGACATTCAAGTTATTGGTGATAACTCCATCCCATTAGTCTGCTGTGGTTGAGGAATTTGAATCCATCATTCTTTTTTTTTTGACCCTACTGGGGTTTGAACTCAGGGCCTTAGGCTTGCTAGGCAGGTGCTCTACCACTGAAGCCATTCCACCAACCCTTTTTTTTTTTTTGTGTGTTAAATACTTTTGAGATAAGGTCTAGCTGTTCCTTTTTGGCCCAAGCTGGCTTTGAACCTTGATCCTCTTGATCTCAGCATCCACAGAAGCTAGGATTACAGGAGCAAGACACCAGCACCAGCTTGTAGCTGTGATTTCTGATGGCTAATTAGCCCCGACACAAGCAACCGTTTATGCCTCCCAGGTGCTCCCTGTCTAGAGTTCACAAGGAATTTTATTCTATTCACTCTCCAAGTTCCAGCTCAAATTAATGAAAGTAGGTGTGGGTATGTTTTCCTAAGCACATCTGTTCCAGTCCTACCTGCTTTGCCAAACTGTGCTTGGTTCCCTCAGCCAAAAGTGAACCTGAAATTCAGCACAGTAACTGGCACATAGGTTGAGTTTACACTTTTCTGTTAAACTCTGATAGTTTGTAATGTTCAATACAGATGATAACACATTCCTTTCTATCTCAAAGAATGGCTTTAGGGTTGCCAAGGCCTGAGTTAGAACTGCATTGTAGGGGTGTGTGAAGACGTCTGTCAACTATAATACCCACATTTTTTTCTTTGATTTTTGCTCTTCCTCAAGGCAACATTCCATGTAGCAGCTTATTGAAGGACCAAGGCACAGGCTGAAATCCTGGGATGCTCACAGTGAATGAAGACTTGCCGAGATATATAGGAAACTGAGTTTCTGTTATTACTATTATTTGAAACAGGGTCTCAGCTTCCAGTGCTAGGATTACAGGGATGGGCCACCACTTCTGGCTTGTGTTTTTTTAATTTTAATTTATTTTTATACTGGCTAGCAAGTACTTTACCACTCAGCTCAATCATGGCCCCAGGTTGTTTTAAGGATAGCAGATCTCCACTTTCCATGAATAAGCTTGAACCTGTGCCCTAGGGTCAGGGTGCAACTTGTGTTCTTCCTAGCCTTCTGCATTCCAATTGCTACTACCTTTTACTTTCCAAAACAAGGGCACAACTTTTCTTCCCAGTAAAGCTTGCAAGGGTGTCTTACATTGGTATGTAAAAGTCTCCAGGACACCAAGGAAAGGGAGAATTCACTGGCTATGAGAACCTCTAACTTCCTTTCCTAGTCTAGTTGAGCAGTTGAAAGAGGCCATCCAGCAGAGCTGTCAGCTCACAGATCATGAAAAGGAGTTTTGTTCATCAAATCTTTATGTGACTTTTGGCATTTTCCAATAAAATTATACTTTTGGGCTTAATACTTGTAATATTTATAAATATTTGAAATATACTTATTTTGATTAGATGAGAAGAGACTTTTTGTTTAGTTTTTTTTGGGGGGGCGGGGGTGGAGGGTCCTGCCCATGCTAGGCAAGCGCTCTACCACTGAGCTGAATTCACAGCCAAAATGAGACTTGCAAGACCTTTATTTTTCATTTTATTTCTTTTTCTGTTTTTTTGGTGGCCCTGGGGTATGAACTCAGGGTCTCACGCTTGCTAGGCAGGCGTTCTTACGGCTTGAACCACTCTGGCTGCATTATAAAAAGGAGCTATTTTAGCTATTAGTGACAAGCTGGAGTACAGGTAGATGACACTTTAAAATTAGCTAAGGGTGCTGGCAGAGTGGCTCAAACGCTAGAGCGCCTGCCTAGCAAGTGCGAGGCACTAAGTTCAAACCCCAGTACTGCCAAGAAAAACAATTTTTTTAAACTGGAAAAGGATGTACATGGCTTTACAAAATTGTCTTAGCGGGCTCCTGAGCGAAAAAGTCTGAAGACCTTGAATGAGAGAGATGTTTGCTTCTGGTTCGTGCTCTCCCATTCCTTGGGACATTCACTTCCTCTTTGGAGGTTTGGGATTTGAACTCGCGGCCTCGCGTTCCCCTTGACCACGCCCCCAAATGCAGGTGGATCAGCAGCACCCGTGGGCGCCGCGTCGCGGGTAAATCCATTCAGGATTTACACTTGCTCATTTTCACAGTGACTCCTCGCAGATTTCCGGCTCACATCCTGTGCACAGGGGACACTCCCCTGACGGCTCGGAACGATGGCCACCGTGAGAACTCGGGGGGCGGCTCGGTCTCCCGCTATTGCTCGGGTTTTTGTGCCGCGTCCCGCCGCCGCGAGGACAGGGAAAGCGTGGGAAGGCCGCGATCGAACTCCGAGCGCGCAGCGGGGCGGGGCCGGCGAGGACCGTGAGGGGGTGTGGCCAGGCGCAAAGAGGGCGTGGCCTGGCGGGCCGCCGCGCAGGCGTATATCCGTCTCGGCGGAGCGCGCGCCGTGCCGCGCGTGTCCCCGCGCGGGCTCCGTAGCGCGTGTGCAGGCTGACGCAGCTCGGGGGCCCTCCTCCTGCTCTGCGACGGCGGCAGCTGCGGCGGCGGCGGACTTTTGGGCGTTTGGGAGGGGGCGAGGGAGCGCGAGTCGAGAGAGAGGGAGGCGGCGGCGGCGGGGAGGAGGAGGAGGAGCAGGCGCCGCCATGGCCGCCGCTATCACCGACATGGCCGACCTGGAGGAGCTCTCCCGCCTGAGCCCTCTGCCCCCCGGCAGCCCCGGGCCGGCGTCGCGGGGCCGGCCTGAGCCCCCCGAGGAGGAGGAGGACGAGGAGGAGGAGGAAGAGGAGGCGGAGGCGGAGGCGGTGGCGGCGCTGCTGCTCAACAGCGGCGGTGGGGGCGGCGGCGGCGGGGTGGGGGGCGGCGCGGTGGAGACCATGTCGGAGCCGAGCCCCGAGAGCGCCAGCCAGGCCGGGGAGGACGAGGACGAGGACGAGGACGACGAGGAGGAGGACGAGAGCAGTAGTAGTGGCGGCGGCGAGGAGGAGAGCAGCAGCGGCGGGAGCAGCGGCGACGAGACGCGCTCCCTGAGCCCGGGCGCCGCCAGCAGCAGCAGCGGGGATGGGGACGGCAAGGAGGAGCCCAAGGGACCGCGGGGCGGCCCGGGCGGCGGGGGCGGCGGCAGTAGCAGCAGCAGCGTCGTCTCGAGTGGCGGCGACGAGGGCTACGGGACCGGGGGTGGCGGGAGCAGCGCCACGTCCGCCGGCCGGCGGGGCAGCCTGGAGATGTCGTCGGACGGGGAGCCGCTGAGCCGCATGGACTCGGAGGACAGGTCAGTGCTCCCGAGCGTCGCAGCGGTCCCCTCGTGCCCCCGGGTCCCCGGCCTCTCCTTCCCCCCCCCCCACCTCGGATCTCAGCTCCTCTTCCGTCTCCCCCGCCCCACCTGTCTCCTGCCGACCCCAGGGCCGCCGGGTCCCTGTCCCCACGCCAGAGTAGCTAGCTAGCTGTGTCCCGCCGCGCTGGCGAGCGCTTGTCACTGCTGTGATTGACAAGTGCTCTCCAACATGGCTGGTGTCGCCCGGGCGGAGCGAGCGGAACTTCCTCGTCCAGCGAGGAGGAGACCCTAACTCTTCACTGGGCTCCACTTAGCAAGTCGTGCGTGGGTTCCCGTCCACTTGTGGACCAGGCTCCCCCTCCTCCACCGCCCCCCCCGCAAGTGTCGTTCCTGATGGGGTCTCCTGGGTGGACTGAATCCTGGTTGGTGATCTAATCCCGTAGAAAGTTGAAAACGCGTGCACATCGTGGTGAGGAGGATTAGGGGGTCGGTGTCCTTTGAAATAACTTTGCAAGGCCTGGAGGTGTGGCTCGACTGGTGGGGCCCTTGCCGCCTGAGCACAAGGCTTGAGGTCAAATCCCAGTGCTGCCAAGAAAAAATGTTAAACCCAAATAACTCTGCCGAGCAGCCGGGATTCTCTCCCTTAGCTGCTCCCCTGATGTTATAGCATTAGGTTCCAATATAGACTTTCAACAAAAAAAGTGAAATCAGTCCAGCGCCAGTGGCTCACGCCTGTAATCCTAGCTACTCAGGAGGCAGACATCAGGAGGATCACGTTTTGAAGCAAGCCCGGACTGATAGTTTTTGAGACGGCATCTCGAAAAACCCATCACAAAAACAGGGCTGGTGGAGTGGCTCGAGGTGTAGACCATGAGTTCAAACTCTAGCACCGAAAAAGAAAAAAAGAATTGGAATAGTAATGAACTAGTCATGAAGGTAAGAAGTTAGTGTGTGGCTTAAAATCTCTGTTGCATAGTAATGCTTCAACGAGAGCATGGTTTTAGTTGACACTATTTAAAATGTCTCGGAGGTCTCCCGGAGTAGTCTTGTTTTTATAAAGCATGCAGGAGATACCTGAGGACATATAAGACCTTAGTTATGTGTTTCAGTTGTTCATATTGTTACTTATCATTTCTTTAGAAAACTGTATTTCCAGTAGTTGGTTTTCGTGTACATTTCAATTTCAAGAACCACCCCATGCACTTTAGGCAGCATGTTTCTGAAGTCTTCCAGCAGTTATTTTGAGCATCTGCTAAGGCTTTGATGAGAGGTGGAGTTTTTAAAGTCAATGGAGATTTCGTTTTGCTTTTTTGAGACAAGATCTGTCTCTGTAACCCAGTCTGGCCTGGAACTCAGGACTCTATTGTTCCAGCCTCCCAATTGCCCGGGTCACAGGAGCCACCATGTTGACTTTGAGTTAAAACTTAAAACATTTTAAAGTTTCCTTCTGATTGTTCATTGACAGAAATGTACACTTTATAGTTAATGCTACAAGGAGTAGAAAGCCTGTATATTTTTGAAAATCTGACTTCAAATTCTTTTTAACACCTTAATGCCTGATTAAGAAAGTGTCTTGAGTGGGGTAAAATAGACCAAAACCTTAGAAAAATTGCGCTGAACTGTGTAGGCATGGGTAGGGAGGAGCATGTCGAAGAAGATTGAAAACTGATGTAAGCTACATTGTCCTGTGGTAGCACTCCATATTTGAAGTGGGCTGTAGTTATTCAGCCAGCACCTCCCACGTTTCTCTGTTGACCTGCTGTACACATGTGCACCCACATTCGCAGAGCACTGTAGACTAACTCTGTGTCACTCTCATGACCATGGCATGTGATAGTTATCACTGTGACTTCCATTTAGTATCGAGTAACAAGTTTGTGTCTTACATCTTTCAATAGGGCATGGAACTGGTGGAGCTGGATAAACAAAGGTCCTCAGTCCCCCATTTCCACCTTAGGTGATTTAGAATAGCAAGTTGTGTTGATCAGTTTTGTTTTAATTAACATCTGTCTATCACATGCCTTCAGGAGACAACTACTGGTGAAGAAATCTTTTCTTTGATATGAGATGTTGAATTTTTACATCATCTCATAGTAAGGACTGAGATATTGGTGTCATAAGTCCAAATAAAGTTAAAACTGATAACTAAGCACACTTACTTTCTTAATGTTTAAGCATCAGAGATTGCAGAACATGGTAATAATTCTACCATTTCAGGTAGAAGATGGATTACTGGTATGAGCAAACCTTATTAGTGAAACTGGTTTGTGGTCTTGATAATCTTAATTGTGAAATATCTCCTTGTTGGCTTTGAGGTTTTTCTTGTTTTTAATTAAATTAAATTTGGAAAGCATCCATAGTTCTTACAGTTGTGCCAGTCTGTGGATTTCACATCACTAGTTGATTTTTGGTGGGAAGGAAGTCTTTTTTTTTTTTTTTTTTTTTTTTTTTTGTGAAACCTGGGTCTGAACTCCCTGTCTACTTCTGGAGTCATGCCTTCAGTCCATTTTGCTTTGGTTATTTTGGAGGTGGGGTTTCCTGAACTATTTGCCCCTGCTGGCCTGGAACTGCAATCCATCTCAGCTTTCCAAGTAGCTGGGATTACAGGCATAAGCCACTGGCACCTGGCCGGGAAGTCTTAATTTTTGTAACTGATGGAATAATATAGTGCTTTTAAAGTGCTTTAAAAATATTTGAGGCTTTTCTGTGACAGCAGTTCCATTATCATTAGAACTTTGCTTCTGTAACAGTGTCCACATAGTTTTTCTATCATTTAAAGATAGGTCATATTTTTGGGTTTATCTGATATACTTTAGAATTTATTGAAATTATTTTTGTTAGTACTTTTTTTTTTTTTTTTGCAGTACTGGGGTTTGAACTCAGAGCCTCATGTTTGCTGGGAAGGTGCTCTACCACTTGAGCCACTTTGCCAGACTCTTTTTTTGTGTTGGGTATTTTTGAGATAGGGTCTCTTGAACTATTTGTCTGGGCTGGCGTTGAATCGTGATCCTCCTGAACTCTGCTTCCTAAATAGCTAGGATTACAGGCGTGAGCCTGTTAGTGCTTCTTTTTTAATAATAAGAATGAAATACAAATATTTAGATAGTAGAATTTGTAACCTAAGATGGTATTTACAAACATGCATTGAAAGTGTGCTGAAAAGTGAGTAATTTATAAAGTAGTTAAATGATACTTGGCACAAAAACCATTGATTTTTTTCTGCAGGAGAAAGTTATTCAAAACCAGTGTAAGTTTGTTTGCATATTTGTTCCAGTAAATTGATATGTAATTGTAGTTACTTTGATAATGATAGTAGAATTTTCGTTGGGCTGAATATTTAACTGTGTGAGATTACTGATGAAGTGGCACAAGTGGTAGAGTGCCAGCTTCGTAAGCATGAAGCCATGAGTTCAGACCCTCAGTATGGTCCAAAAAACAGCTTTTTAAACCTGTGTTTTATTTTGAGACTGGGTCTCATTAGGTAACCTAGGCTTGTCCTTGAACTCTTTATTTTCCTGCCTCAGTCTTTCAGGTACTGACATTACAGACTGTGCCACCACATTGTGGTAAAAAATAATTATTTTTTATTTACCACTTCCTTTTGATTTCTATTTTCCAGCATAATATCTGAGTATATAAAACTCAAAAGAGTTTAAGAAATATTTGTTGAATAAATGAGTCACCCAAATAGTAATCACATGCCACACTTAACACTAAAACATATTGATGGTTAAAAAAAAAGTTAATGCTAAGAAAGTAGGGGATATCTCAATTTCAAGTAGTAAATTAACTTTCAAATAGAATTTTAAAACTTTTAAAATTGTTTTATACTGTGTGTGTGTGTGTGTGTGTGTGTGTGTGTGTGTGTCTGTCTGTTGGACTGGGGTTTGATCTCAGGGCTTTGAGCTTGCAAAGCAGATGCTCTGTTACTTGAGCCATGCCCCCAGTCTGAGTTTAAACTTTTAAACTTGAACATTGTATGTTGGAGTTATCATGAAGATTTACTAAGAATGTAAAATAGTTGAGGCAATAAAATACTTTAGCGTAAAGTAATGTATAATTCCTATATCGTGCTGGATCTCCCTTTCCCTTCAGCTCTAAAGTGGCTCTCTATAGTCTTCCCAGAATCCTTTTCTTGCTACCCTTTTATTTTGTTTGAATTTAGGGAAAGAGTTTCTAATAGGTCTCAGTTTTCTTTGGTATTATGTTATAGCTCTCAGTTAAGGAAGGTCTGGCTCTGCTAAAAGTAAAACAAGGACAATAGAAACAAAACCTTCAGATTTCAAGATTGAACTTACATGGAGGGGTTATAAGGAGCCAGTTCACTTTGAAGAAACATTAAGACCATTTTTTTGGGACTTAGGTAATCCTGTGTATGGAGCTCAGGTTCTACCAAACACAGATGCTAGGATGCACAGGACATTTCTTTCCCCCGTGTTGAGATGGGAAGACAAAATGCTTCCCACTTCAGTTGCATATTTCTGGTTTACTTGGAATTCCAAGGTGTAGGTTTTGCCATAGTTCCCAGCAGGAAGCTTTATTATGTGAATAGAGTTAGAGATTTCGTACTTTGTCTGTAATATATTAGTTATTTATGGCTGGAAACACATTTCTCCCACATTTAGCAACCTAAAGGCTCAGAGTCGGGTCTCACACAGTTCAGTGAAGGTGTTGGTAGCTTTGGAGTGGAACAGTAAATGCTACTTCAAGGCAGTGAATGGGTGTGGTTCTTTTTTTTTTTTTGTGGCACTGGAGTATGAACTCAGGGCCTCATACTTGTTAGGCAGATGCTCTTACCACTTGAGCTGCACCATCCCTGTTTTGTGTTGGGTGTTTTCGAGATAGGGTCTTAAGAAATATTTGCCCTGGGCAGGCTTTGAACTATAATTCTCCTGATCTCTGCCTCCTGAGTAGCTATGATTACAGGCATAAGTCATTGTCACTTGGCTTATTTAGTTAATTTTAATGTAAGTAAACCTAGTTATTCATTGTTAGTAAAAAGCTTTGGAGTATGTTTTCTGTAATGGTAGTATGTTTATAATGATTTAATAGTATCATGAAGTTTTCTTTGTTTCCTTTTTTTTGATGCCAGCATTCAAACACACATGGTAGGCATGTGCTATACCACTGGGCTGTCCCTCCAGCCTCTGTTTGTTTTTGTGGCTTATA